CTGTTACATACCCAGGATACTATACTCTTAATGCATGGTTTCCTTATAGCCTACTTATGCTTTGTAAACAGTCTCTATTAAACTTTCTTCAAATTATCCAAATTGATTTTGCCATCTGTTTCCTGTGGCAGCAATGAAGATAAATGTGCTTTAAAGTATTTTAAATTCTGTCAGTGGCTATTGTGATTACACTTCGAAGGTGATTAGCACTAAAATAAAGAAAAAAGAATATTGTGACAGGTTCATGAATTTATTCTTTGGCTGGTGTGTGAGTTCATTTTTAATTCCCAAAGATCTGGTTTGAATATTATTGAACCTCTAATATGATACAACAGTTGTTTCGAGCATTGTGGGGAATTCAAAGTAAATGAGACACATACACTGTAATTTTCATAGAAAGCAATTTTTAATGAGTTTTATGTGAGAGTTAAAAGTCCTGTAAAAGTTTAGAGGCAGGATATTGTTCCTTCAAGACTGCTTTGATGCAGTCTGCAATAGGAGTGAAGTGAGACCCACAGTTTATTGTGATCTACACCAGACAGATCTACCTCCCGGACTTTTCTTATTTTGTCACTTCATAAGCCACCTCTGAAAATGATTTGAGAGACCAAGCACCCAAATTATAACTAATACTATTTAAAGTTCTGTCTATGTGCCTGATTTGAGTATAATATGTATTAACCCATTAAACTTTCCTAATATCCCTATGAAGTAGGTTCTATTATTAAACAGAGTTGGAATTCAAACTCAGGCAGTCTGTTTTCCTCTTCCAGATTCAAAGCTGCCACAACCATCACTGTATTCTGTAATTAGAGATGATTATTACCTGCCTCCCCCAAAGGAGATCCTTAAAACTAATGTCCTTTAAAACGTGTGCAGCCCTTTCAGAGGGTAAGGAGCCCCATGCTTCTCATGTCAGTAGGGGTTTTCACCTTGTTGCAGTCATAGCAGTTAGCTCCCTCATTCCTTATAGATTTAGCACCTTACATGATGTCATTTTTCCATTAGTGTTAATCATTGTTGCCACATTGCTATCCACGTAACTACACAGTTCTCATAATACTGGATAATTCAGCCTCATGAATTTCTTGATTTTTTATTTCCAGTCATCCTTTAACTTATTTTAGATTACTTACCTGTAATAATCATCTCTCAGATTTCAAGCTTAAGCATCCCTTTCTCTGACATCACTCTATCTTTTTCTTTCTAGCTCATTTCCGCTAATTTCTGACCAGCAATTTTGGGACAAACTATTAGGAGCTCAGTCCACTGATGCAAGACTTTCATTGTCTGTCAACCCTCATAATATTTTCATTTACTTCACCTAGCTTAGATTCCATGATCAGTTGTTATAATCACTCCATTTTACCTCCTGTTGTATTTTACCTGATTAAAGATAACACTCTACCTACTTTGTACCTGAACAGTTAGATGAGGATGGAGGAAAGCACACAAAACTCTTCTGTCTGGTTTCACTCGAGATGCACATATCCACAGTTTCTCAGTGCTGCATGTAGTCTTAGTCCATTCACTCTGCCATTTTCCTTCAACCTTTTCAGTCAGTGGCGTTTATTTACTATTTTGCTAAATGAACAACAAAGATCAAATAAGCAGAATAGAGACTTTTGTATTCTCCTGTCAGCAAATTGAAAAATATGAAAGAGCAGTTTTAATAGAATGGTGGGAGTAGAGGCCATCTTTCAGTGATCAAAATGTGAGTGGGCCACACGGACTGACATTTCTCCATATGTGACCTTGAAACACTGGCTCTTACTAAATAAATCTTGCCCAGGAATAAGTTTAGTGTCTTAAGTAAATTTGAGAAATATTGAAAACTGTATGTAATATATATATATATATGAAAAAGGAAGTTTCCATCTGCTGATTTTGGTAGAACATTGGTTTTCAAACTTCAGCCTATTTCACAGTCACCTGTAGGACTTGCTAAAACACAGATTGCTGGATACCACCTTCCAGACGTTCTGATTTCATAAGTCTTGAGTGACTCCTGAAAATCTGAGTTTACAAATTTTTAGTTCAACCAGTGCTGCTGGTCCAGGGAATTAGGGAATCATATTTAGAGAGCCAGTTAACTTGAGTAAGAATTTAACTGCTAAAAGTAGCAGGTATGATTAGATTTGGAACAATTTAGAAAATAACTCTTATGCACTAACATAGATATGAGTTAATTAATAATCTCACAGAACTTTGATGATGACATAACATGAATTTGTAAATGGGTTTTCCTAGCAGTTTGGACAGTCAGAAAGCAGAACCATTAGCAGTTAGCACAGAATTTTAAGTGAGTCCTATGTTCTGCTAACACCAGGTAGCTGTGAAAGCTCCCATCAAGCACTGCATGTTTGCTTTTTATTCTAAATGCCAAGGCTATAACCTTATGATCTGTGTTTTCAACCCATTTCTTTTTGGTTTGTATGTTTATTGTTAATTAGTTTAAAAAAAATAGTTACTAGAGGGTTTTGGAATGAAGACTAATGTCATAAAAGTATTCTGAACTGATTCTGTCAATTATAGTTAATAATTCTTTGGCTTTGGGCAAATGACTGCTGTTTCTCTTGCTTGGAACTTTTTAAAATAGAAGAATTAGAAACTTCTCATTCTCTCTTTATGAATGTAATTGTAAAGCCATGAGATTTTTAAAACTCAGGTTTTAGGGAACCATTACTAAGGTTTCTGCCTAAGGAAATTTCCAAGTGGTTCTTTTTAAGTAGCTAAATATTTATTGGAGAAGATGGGCCTCTCCAGAGTTTATAGTATTTTTGGTAGTAAGCTATGTCTTTTCCTGGGTGTCTGCATTTCTTGTGCTCTGCCTCTGAAATGTTTTTGTAATGAGATTGTGCCATATCTAGGGCCCACATGTGTCAGTTGTTACTGCCTTAATGACTTTATTATATCTGTACTGAGCCCAGAGTAGGAGGGAGCCACAAGAAATGTTTGGAAACATGTTTGGGGACTTGATAGGAAAGGCAGAGGGTGAGTCCTTTCTTCTATTCTTATTTCTTCCTCAGCCTCCAGGGAAAGAATCAGAAGACTGTTGCCCTTCCTTTTTTGATTTCTCGTCTTTTGTCAGGCTAGATACTGTGTTTTATTTTCATAGTGTCATTAGTGCTTATTTAAAATAATATAACTTTGGAAATGTGTGGACTTGGTTTTTATAGTTTTACTGAGGAATAATCACAACTTGTGCATATTTTAAAGTGTCTGTTGAATTTTGGTGTTTGTGAAACCATTACTATAGTTACGAAATAACATGCATTTTTCACCATTGCCAGGAGTTTTTTTTTTTTTTTCCCCAAGATTTATTTATTTATTTATACATACATACAAGCACTGGGTACAGTCAGAAGCGAGGGAGGGTGAGAGAATTCACCAGAGCCAGAGCAGGGAGCAGAGCAGGCAGAAGGAACAAAGTACACTGCTGAGGGGAGCATCGGGTGGCAGGAGAGGTCTGCGCACCATGCGGTACCCTCCTCCAGAGGTCGGGGAGCAGCTGGGTATCGAACCGAACCGGCGCTGCAGAGGCTGCAAGCAGCTTCGCAACCCAGTGCTCAACTGCTGCGCCACCTGGGAGGCCCGCCAGGAGTTTTCTTGAGCCCCTTTGTGATGCATCCATTGATCTGCTTTCCATCACTATAGGAAAGTCTACATTTTCTCAAATTTTAAATGAATGGACTCATACAGTTATGTACTTTTGAAGAAGTGATCTGACTTCCCTCAGCATAATTATCTTGAGGTTTTATTCATGTAGGTGCTAATATAGTTTGTTCCTTTATATTGCTGAATAGTATCCTACTTGAATATTTCAAAATTTATCCATCCCCCTGTTGATGGACATTTGGGTTGTTTCTAGATTGGAATTATCAGTAAAACTGCTGTGAACATTTGTGAACAAAACTGAGTGTGGACATGTGCTTTTTATTGGGTAAATATTTAGAAGTGGGATGGCTGGTCATATGGTAGGTGTATGTTTGACTTTAAAGAAACTGCTAATTATCTTCCAAAGTACTTGTACCATTTTACATTGTTGAGAGTTCCAGTTCTACATTTTTGTTGATATATGTTCAGTCTTTTTATTTGTAGCCATTCTGGTGGTGTCTATGTATGGGATTTTAATTTGCATTTCTTACACATTAATAATGTTGGGCAGCTTGTTTGCCATCTGTACATCTTTGGTTGAAGTGTCTGTTTAAATTTTCTGCCCATTCTTTAAACAAAAGGTTGTTTTAAATCACTGGCATTTTTAAGTTCTTTCAAGTTTGTGTAGATTTTGCAAATATTTTTATCAGTTGGTGACTTGCCTTTTCATTTTCTTTTAAGGTTTTTGAAGAACAAACAGTCTTTAATGTTGATGTAATTCATTTTTTTTTTCTTTATAGTTCTCTACACTTTTTGTGTCATTTGAGTTGTTCGTCATTTTATTTCTTCTTTGGTTTTTCTGACAAAGTATCTCTGAGTGTCATGTTTAGCTATAAAAGAGCGTAGGAGGCAACTGTGGAGTTATGTCTGCCTTGTATTTTGTTATACTTTAATAACAGATTATTTATGATCTAGCACTTTTTGTTCATGATGGTTGTTTGTTAAATCTGTTAAGGATCCATGAAATTGCTGTTCACCGAATTCCTCTGTTTTATGGGGTGAGGAAATTGAGGTTCATAAAGGTTATGTGACTTCACTTTTAATGACTTACAGTTTATGGATATTCCAAGACCCAAAAAGAAAAGAAAAAAATCCCAGTGACAGTGAATCTTACTTCATTCTTTGTTTCTGTATGAGGTACCGCTGCTAATTTTACTGCATACAGTAACTTATTAAAATAAATTTAGTGCCTTCATTTGTTGCTTCTTCATTTCTCATTGTATCAAATATCCTCATTGAAAGCAGTGTGTTACTTAAGTAGGAGAGCTTTCACAATTTTGGTTAAAATTTCATCGAGTAAAGATGTTGAATTTAACACTTGTATTTTTAAATTTTTTCCAAAGGTCTGTAAACAGATTTGGCTAGGATTGTTTGATGATAGATCTTCAGCAATTCCAGACTTCAGGGATCCACAAAAAGTGAAAGAGTTCCTACAAGAGAAATATGAAAAGAAAAGATGGTGAGTGAATAGTTTGCATTTAAGCTAAGGCTCCCCTGAATCATATTAATTATGGGTAAGATTAGTGTGACATAGGAAGGAAAGATATGGATAGGAGGAGGGAGGGTAGGTGGACCCTGAGCTTTTCACTAGATTGTTTTTCAAAATCCTTTTCTTGGCTCATCTGTGCCTGCCTAGCAGCTGCCTGGGTTTCATACTCAGGCCTCCTGCTGTTTTTTTTGAAAGTTAAGAATCCTTCCTTTTATTCCTTACCTTCTCCAACCTGTTTGTTTCTTTAGACATTTTAGTCCTATGAAGTCTTCTTTCTTAAAATCTTTGTCATTTTGCAAGTGTCCACTCAACTCTTTCTGTATACTGGGCACTGTGCTCGTGCTGCTGTCTGGTCCATTCACTTCATTGTATGTGACACTAAGCCTTTGCTTAAATATCCCTCACTCCCCACCTAACATCATTTCACTACCTGGTTAAGAAGGGATTATTTATATTCCCATAACTAAATCCACCTTAAAACAGATTGGACATATGGCTTATATGCCCTTTAAAATAGAGCAGGGAGTGTATCCTGAGAGCTAATATTCAGCTACTTTTGACTTCATTTTTAGCTATATGAACACTGAGTCAATTTACTAAAGCTCATTAATGATGAATTCTTGGTTGTGTTTTTTTTTTTTTAAATCAGTATTTAGTAACATGTCTTTCCTTTCTGGAAAGGTTAAGAAGATGAAGGAGACAGTCACAAGTAGGGGGATCAGATATGAGGACATAAATGGCTTCTTGTTTCCCTGAGGAGCTGCATTTTAATCCAGAGAATGATGGAGTCCAGGGTCTGTCTTGGTCCTGAGAGAATACTTGCTGTGGTTTCTGGATGAGATATCTTTACCTTCACTTAGTAGACACATTAGAAAGAAGTAGCTCTGATTTATATGTTCTATGAATTTTGTGTCCCTACTGTTCTCTAGCGGAGACTACTTTTTGCTAGGCAGGTGTGGCCAGGGCAGTCTTCAGTGACACTGGACACATTAGATGTGAGTATGGATTAAAAAGAAACCAGAAAAATTTTAGCTCAGGAAAGAAGAAAATTTTAGGTGAGCTGATAATGAAAACTTGGTGGCACATGATTCTCTTGAAATGTAGAATGATCCTTACACCATGCTAGTTCTTTATTTCTTAGATTGTCCATCTTTTAGTTAACACCTTTCTCTTTGTATAGCCCTAGCCTAATTTTTTATTTCCCCAACAGCTGTTACCATTTCAGAAAGTTAGTTTGAATAGAACTTAGTGAGGATTTCTGGTAAATTTTACAATCTTTAGCTAGCAAGAGAAAAATAAAGAGTTGATATTAAAACCTTAGGAATTCCCCCTGCATTTATAATAATTAATAATAAATATTCTTTCAAGCTATAACCCTAATAACGGTAAACCTCTATTTTGTAGAATACTGTAAGAAACAGGACAGTAATACTGAGTAATGCAAACACAAGCTTTAATTGGTACATGGGGCGAGGGATTGACTAACATTCAGGAGCTTCAGAGCATGTGCATTTTAAACCTATCCTTCTGCATACCTGTGACATGTAACTGGGGATTAATGTATTGGGTTTTAATGTGGCATAAGCACTGTCCAAATTCAGTCTCCCTAAAAATCCTCACTGAATTGAGAAAGTGAAAAGAAATTATTCTTTCAACCAGTTTTCATATTCACTTATTGTGTTATACAAACTTAGTTTTATTTTTGGTCAGACAAGTCTTTTGAACCAAGTACTACTATTTGATTTTATCCTTTGGTAAGATTTGGTTGGACTCAAAATTTATCATTGGTGATATGCATAATTATGGGAAAGCTTAAATTCCTGTACTCAATTTCAAATCCCATCAATTCTTTATTTGCTGGAAAAAGCAGTTTTATTGTTTGTGATTATTATATGATTTGATAATAGCTAACACCTAACACAGCTAACACTTGTGGTCCAGGAACTTTTCTAAGTAATTTGTGACTGTTAGCTCACCTATACCTTGCAGCAATCATATTTTCATTTTATTGATTAAAAAAGTCAGGGCTTCAAAGAGTTGAAATCTAGGTTCTACAACAATCAAATGGTAGAGCTGGCATTTGAATCCCATTACTGGAGGTAGATGCCCTTGACCACTCTCTTTTCCTACTTGATTTGTGCAGTGTGAGGAGGAGGGTAAGGTGTAGTAGGGTAGGACAAAACCCAGGTACAGGGCCCTGGAGATGAACATTAGCAATATTTGGACATTAATGTCTTACTGGCTCTGCTTCTTTTTCATTCTCCTGTGAGTCCTGTATTTACACTACTAGGACGAAGCCTGAAAGACCTAGAAAGTCTTAGGGACATTTTTCATGTTATAAGAGTATCTATGTAGGGTTATACAAATTTTAGCATAATCTTTTGAAGTATTTTTCTCCTGATAGGTGTTTGGTTTATTTTGCCCAGTTTTTTGAAAATAAAAGAGTGCTATCATACAATGAAATCAGAGATGTATGGTAAAATTAAAAAAAAAAAAATAGATATCACTGTGGAGCTGTTTTTGAATCTGACTATCCAGTCTGTCATATTAAAACTTCAGGTGAAAAGTAAGCAATCTGATTCAACTCCCTGTCAGCCACTAGGAAAGACCACTCACCGAGTTCTCTCCTTATCAATGACTAGGAAGGAAGGTCATGTGCTAATTGTTGCAGAAGACCCCATACTTCAGCTTTCTTCCTAAAGATTCCTATAAACCAATCTGAAAGTTTCAAACAAGTGACATAAGTTTAGCTAGACCACTGCCTCGCTTGGTCCTTTAAATTTTCCGTATGTCCTGGTGCTGGTAGAATGCAGCTTGGACTTCCCTGATTGTGGAGAAGAATCAGTACTTCAATTCTTGATTGGATGCCTTTTGATTATAAAAAAATTAATAAAAATAGGTAGAGTGCTATGGCAATATGCATCTACATGTATCTCTGTGCTTACCCAGTCCTAAGGGTGAGTTTCTCAGGCAGTGGTCCTTCTGAGGTACTGAGCATACCTATTTATGTGTTTTAATAGATAGTAACAAAATATGTGAAATTTACACTCAGATTAAATGCTAATGATATTTTAATTTGCATTTTTATTACATCACAAGTGTTTTCATTTGTCTCTGTTAATTCTGTCCATTTTAAAATTGGGTTGTTGGACTTATGGATTTATAAGAGGCTTTGATATTTTATCTATTAGCTGTAATATAGTGGATTTTTTCCCTTCTGCTGTGTTACCAAATGTTACGTTCTTATGGTACTTTAGTATTTCAGAATTACAGCATTAACTGTAGATTCTTTGTTAGCAATTCTTACATGATATTTATTATCTTAGGGAAATTAAGTAAATAATTGAAACAAATTCTGTGGTTAGTCTAACACCCTTTTTCTGACTATTTCAGTTGAATGTTACCTTAAACTACATTTAAAGTAACGATCAATTCTAAGATGCATTTGAAAATAAGATTAACCTTATACAAAACTGGAATTAAATTTATCATTTTTGGTTATGTATCCCATATGTATTTTCTTAGTTAACTGCCTATTCAACTTTTCGTGTACTTTAGGTATGTCCCACCAGAACAAGCCAAAGTGGTGGCATCAGTTCATGCATCTATTTCAGGGTCCTCTGCCAGTAGCACAAGCAGCACACCTGAGGTCAAACCACTGAAATCTCTGTTAGGAGATTCAGCACCAGCATTGCACTTAAATAAGGGCACACCTAGTCAAGTGAGTAATTTTTAAGTTTTTTCAATGGCTTCTACTTGAAGAGGATTAAATATCATGAATTTAAAAATTCATTAAGACAATAGCATAACCTTGTTTCCTAATAGCATCATATTCTAATGATTTGTATTATCTTAAAAATATTGTTGGTTAAGTGGTTGGAAATGTATATATTTTTATTCCTCTTAATGCTTTTATGAGTTTCTTTGAATTCTGTATAGCTTTGTAAAGGTATACAGAAACATTGCTATAGCTCTCTATCATATAACATACAGTTATCAATATATGAATCTATGTTGACTGTCAGAGTTACAGAAGCATAGTCACAAAGGTGTGCTTTCACAGGAAAAGATTTCTCAAGCAGTGGTTTTCCCTCATGCCTGATTGTGAAGTATGTTTGTTATTGAAACAGAGGTGACTTTGCATTGCATAATTTATTCTAAAAAACTGAATAAACTAAAGTCTTCATAAGTTGTCACCTAAAGTTTATACTTCATTACTCATTCACAATTGAGACATGAAATGTCTTTTATCCATGTGGCATTGGAGTATGCGTTCTACACAAGATTAGTTCTGAGGCATGGTACTGTTGATAATTGAATTAAAACCCACCCTTTTTAATAATGCATAGTAGAGCATTTGGATAAGTTGTGTTTTCAAAAGATCTGAGTGAGAAAGAGAAGGTTAAGTCAGTATATTGTAACTTTCTATATAAAGGATGTGTTTAATGACAACCTTATCATTGCTGTCTTAGCAGTAAGACCATCTTGTATCATGAGTTGCAACAAATATGTCATTACATGTCTTTGGTTTTGAGACCGTACTTAAAGTTGAGAGATAATTTGGGAATAGATATTGAACATCTGTTCAAAAAAGCATTAAAGTACTTAAAACTACAAATAAAACATAAGTTTTAAACAATATTTTAAGCTTGAAGTGGTGGGAATAGTGTTATAAAAAATTAGCAGAACTGACTGGAAACTCTTTGTAGTTAATTTATGATTTTATAGTCCCCTGTTGTAGGTCGGTCTCAAGGACCACCACAGGAAAAGAAGCAGTTTGACCTTTTAAGTGATCTTGGCTCTGACATCTTTGCTGCTCCACCTCCTCAGTCAACAGCTACGGCCAATTTTGCTAACTTTGCACATTTCAACAGTCATGCAGGTAAGTCACCTCGCTTCCCCCCTTCCCCCAACATCAGCTTCAACCAGTGATGTGTATAATGGCTATAATCCATTTTTTAGTAAACTTAATTTTTATCTATAAACATGTTCTGTTCAAAGTCTTTGTAATAGGTGATCATGTAACCCTAATGCTTTTCAATCACAAAAGAGATTATATCAGATATTGGAATAAAGACTTTTTCAGAGAAAATGGGAAAAGACTTTTAAATATTTTATCCTTTTTTAATGGAAAATTGCAAATATTCATAAGTGACCGGATAATATGAAATTCATGTACATATCACTGATGGGTTTCACAAAAGGTTTACAAATTAGTTATTAGATATGTCTCTTAATCTGTAGCTTCTTCCTTTTTTCTCCTCTGTAATTTACTTGTTGAAGTTACTAGGTTATTTGTCCTGTACAGTTTTCAGCAGTCTGAATCTGATTGCACTACTGTGGTGTCATTTAATAGCTGCCTTTCCTCTATTTTCTCTTAATTGACTGTTGCACTTACAAACTTGGGGAAGGGGCAAGCCTCTTAGGATTTAATAAGCACAGAGTATCAATCTGATTTTGTAGCGTTAGCTGTTGATGCTGAATGCCTCAATCCATTATGCAAAATGGTGATACTCTATATCATTCCTTCATTTGTCAGCCAAAATGCTTTAAAAAACTGGTTTTCCAGTAATATAATTATTAAAGTTGGAATGCATGATTCTGATCAATCAGATATCAGCATAATGAGTTGATTCTGTAGCATTTTCTAGTGGTGATCTCATTTTACTTTAGTATTAGAAACTCATAGATTTAAGCATTTTGTGTACCTCAAATTTGTAGTCAGTAGTCTTTATTGATGCTAACATTCTTCCATCTTTAGAGTAAGAACATTCTCAATTTGACCCTGAAGAGATATCATTCCTTATTTTATTCACAGATTTAATGTGTTAGAAGAGTTTAATGCACCTCACCTGAAGTTAGAAGTTACGGAGTTTTGTTAATGAATATACAAACAAACCTTTCAGAGTTACAAATTATTGTGTAGAATCTATTTTGAATGCCTGTAAGCATTGATATGTATGTGATAGAAAGTTTGTTCATTTGCATCTGTGATAGAATAAGCATCAACCCAAATATTAATATTTAAAAATAATTGTTGAAGTATAGATGTAATCATTTGCGCCTCTCCCAATTGTAATGATAACAGTCTGTTGGAAAATGAAGCAGCATAATGTAGTGAAAAGAAATGAACTCTGGAGTCAGAACAACCTGAGTTCAACTGCTGACCAGGTTCCTTGTTTTCTGTATAACCTTGGGCAAGTGGTGAGGTTCAAATGAGATGGTGAATGTAAGAGGTTGAGTGTATAGAAGTTACAGTAAATATTGTTTTTCCTTTTTCACCCTTTTATTCTTGCTTTCACATGTATGCACTTATATGTACACATAAGTACATATGTTACGTACACAGGTATGGGTATACATATGGAGTCATATCTGTAGACTTTATCCTTTTTTTTCTTGAATCTTAACTGAGGTTCACCAGATGGCTTAGATACATATCTTAATAGCTCGTTAATTTTTTGTGTTAGTACAGTTGTTTCTTTATGCTTCCTTGTACTTTTTTTAGAAGGTGTGATGTAAACAATCTAAAAGCATATACTGTATTTATATAAGAAGTATTATGTAGAATCTATTTCGAATGCCAGTAAGCATTGATATATGTCATAGAAAGTTTGTCCTTCTGCATTTGTGAGTGATAGACTAAGCATCAAACCAGATGTACAAAATTAAGAATTGATTTGGTCATTTCGTAGCAGTTTTTTATTTTTGATAGTTTGCAACTTTATATTTTTGCATATATGTGTAGGGGTACATGGGGTATTAACTGAAAGTTGCTATTTCTTTGTCACTAATTTCCATAAGTTTAATTATAATAAAATTTTCAAATTGTCTAAAACATATATTTTATGACATAGCAAACAGTGTTTACAGAATTGATTTCCTGTTCATATGAATTTATTCAGCCTTGTGAAATTGTGACACTATATTTTTTTTCTCTTCCTTTCAATTTGAACTGGCTTATAACTTCATAGTAAAGGTACAAAGTATATCATTTATATATACATGCATCCATATTGAGAAATAGCTATTTGAGATAGTTTTTTAAAAGTCTAGAAAAGCTGCTCTTTGACCACATGTCTTTCTAGCAAGCATTAAAGGGGCTTTTGTTTCAAATATCAGTAAAAGCATATTCTAAGGATATGTTGAAGAAGGAAATTATGGTGTAATTTTTGTATGTATGTTTGTGTGTGTGTTTGCTTTAAAATGGTTCCTAGGATGATGATAATCTCTAATTTTAGGCAAGATTATACTGAGAAGGGAAAGAAAATTAGGAAACTTAAATTGGTAGGTTTTCCTTATCCTGCATTAGCTAAGCAGTAAAATTCCAGAAAACTTGACTTTTCCCTTCATGCTCCAGGTAGGAAGTAAGTCAGTTCCCCCTTGACCAATCAGTAGCCCCAGCTGTTTGGTCTCATCTCTTGCTTTTGAATGTTAACAAAAAGAGTACCTGGAAGAATCAAGGAATATATTCAATAGAATGAGCCTTCTGTAATTTATGAATATATTTTGCATTGATCTCAATTTAAGGTTTACAGAAATATAATTTGAAATGATGAATTCCAATAAATCAGAATCAAATATTTCAAATATTTGTAAGTTTTGTAAACTTTGTAAAATTCACTCTTACATATTTTCATGCTTTAGATGTACACGATGTGTTTTTATCTGTAAATGCAATTTATGAGTATTCACAGGTCAGGAAATTAATTTAACATGTTTCTGTGTAGCCATGTTAGCCAAAAATAGTTTGGCTATTCACTGTAACTACACAGACTAATTTATACTTTGATTGCATTCATACGTTCAGTGATTTCCTTAACGTGTTTTTTTGAAAATAATATGTATTATTTATTGTAGAAAATGTAAAGAAAAAAAAGAAAGCTATAATTTTATCAAAGATTGATAGGAGATAGGGGTTCTTAACTATTTTGTTTTTTTCCAGTGTGATAGAAATGGTAAGATAGTTGAGTCTGTGAGGAAATAGTTACCAATAATGAAGATTAGGTAAGACTGCCCAGGAAATAGTTGTCTTACAGCTTAAAGTTCTTTTTTGTGAATCACTACTTAAATCACTTTTTTGTTTTGTTTAATTCCAGTAGAACAAAGTATATGTGTATATTGCAAGAAGAGGTTAATAAAAGTATTTTCCTTTCCAATTATAGAGTTACCATCTTCTGCATTTTACCTTGGTTTAGTTTTTAGGTGTAAACCAATGTCAGAAAGTCATTGATGACTCAATTCTTGCCCGGAAGTTCTTTCTCTGTCTCATTAATGTTAGGTGAAAATTTTCTCCTGAACAGATTGATGGAGTGAATGGAACCTTTAATAGCAAATTTAGATATGCCAATCTGGTTAGCATTGTTTTGTAGGGAAATGTTCTTTTGTAGATAGGTTAATCACTTAAAAGCTGGAAATGTTTCTCCTTTATCTGAACATCCAGCTGAGATGATTTTTTTTTATTTGTGGATGTGTCTGTTTGGTTCGTTATTGTGTTCAGGAAAAGTAATCTACAGAAACACGCATATAGTCAGAAATATAATCTACTTACAGAACGTGGCGGTAGTTTTGTTTGGTAGTGCACACATCACAAAAACTACCAACTGTAAGTTATAACTGATTTTTTTGGTCACACTTTACACAGTAAGTCTTCTTTTAACATTATCAGTAGGGTCTTGGAAATCTTTACTGCAAGTGAAACAACAAATAATGGAACCAATTTTACCATAGGCTAATTGATAAACAGTTTAACCAACCCCCATAATGTCAGAAAATCCTGGTAGAACTTTCACTTCCCTGAAATTTGACTTCCAATAGCCCGCTGTTGTCCAGAGCTTTACCAGTTATATATAAGCAGTTAATTAACATGTATTTTATAGGTTATATATATCACATTCTGGATTGTTACAATAAACTAGAGAAATGAAAATTAGGAAAATCATAAGGAAGTAAGTACATTTGCAGAATGGTACTGTGTGTGTTGATACTGTAAGTCTACATCATCTGTAAGTCGGCCTGCACAGGTCATATCCACATTGTTCAAAGGTCAGCTCTAACGAAGAGTTAAGTTTTTATGGCATATTTTCTGGTCACGGAAGCATTACCAAATTTCTATTTCGAGACCTAAAACACTATTCACCAGTAATTTGTTAAATGATTAGTTTATTCTTTTCCTTATTTGAGTTTTCAAGGGTTGCTGGAGCCTCTCCTGGCAACTCGGGGTGAAAGGTGGCAGCTAACCCTGGATTGGGGGCCGTTCTATCTCAGGTGACGCGTCTCTCATACACAGTCACTCTCATTCAGCCTGGGACAGTTTAGATGCACTTACCAATCTAACCTACACATCTTTGCGATAATGAGAGGAAAGTGGAGTGCCCTGCAAAAGTCAGGGAAAACATGCAAGCTTTCACAGACCACACACATTGTAGACATTTCTGTAACCAGTTGTTGCAGACAAGGAATAGATTAAGTGTCTGCAAATAAGAACTGGTAGAAGTATCACTAATTCCTCTTTGGCAAGAATGTGTAGGCATTTCATTAATGTTTAGTTTGGTGTTCTGTTTGGAAATCTATTAGCTTGATAAGATAGACTTGCCTAATTGTTTTGAAATGTTTCTTTCCCTATAGATGTTTGAAACATACAAGGCATTTATTTTTCTCTCCCTAGCATGTTCTAGATCTAAGTTAAGTGCTATATACATTATGATTATATACTATATACTCATACACATTTGAAGTTATAAATGATAAAACTATGGACCTAATTCTGATTTGTACAAGGGCAAATGTGTTCCATTTCTTGTTCTCAAATGTACAACTGCATTGCTTAAAAAAACTTAGAAACTTGCCTTTTCTAAAATAGCCCACTCAAAATGTGAGAATTCCCTGTATCATATTGTCAATTTGTTTGATTTATAGTTGAGCTGTTTCTATAGTCTATATTTGGTCTTAAACAAGTATATTTTGTCTTTTAAAAGAGTTTTCTTCATCTTGGGTTAGTATTTCAAAGTCTTAGACATACTGCAGAACCAGTGGATTTGCAATAAAGATCATCTAGTGAATCCTTTTGTTTTGCTAGTGAGAAAATTGGTAGAGCCAGAACAATTAAGGGAGTTGTCCAGTGCTGTACAGTTACTTAGGTTAGGATGGAACTCTGAGTCAGATTTCAGATTCCCTTTTCATGGAACAAGTGTACTACTTTACTGGTGTTCTCAAGCAATACTAAATGGTAATAACCGTTTAAACTTATGTCTATTTATTGTTCATATTCCTATAGACACTTTTTATAAAATATTTTTAAAGAAATTTTAAATTCATCTATTTTTTTTCATTATAGGAAAGCAAAATTTCAGCCTATGAAGAAGTGAAATTTTATTATATTAGGTAAAAGAAGGACAAAAGATTGCACTGTATTTGGAAAATACACTTACTTTGTTTCAATCGAGCAGTAAGCAGGCTTTTTAATTTAGGTGCTTCTGTGTAGTGTTTGAGAGATAGGACAAACATGTTTTTAAAAGTTTTTCAAGAACAAAGTATGAGCAGTGTTGTGTGTGATAGTATATCCTGCATTTCAGAAATGCTAGACATGAGAACTCAAGGGAGGTGGAACAGTCTCTAGTAAGATGAAGTCCACTTTAGGTGTATTTCTTCCGTATTGTTAGACCCTTTCAGACATGCCAAACGGTAATTACATAAAATACTATATATTTTCCTGATTCTCTTCCTTAGAAAAATGTTTGTTACTTTGGTAATGGAAAAATTTATTTGCTTATGTAACTTCTTTGGGGTAGAATACATACTCATTGCAAAAGCTTGGTAAAACCAGATTATACAAACAAGAAAATGTTACCTAGGTGAAATTGTACTGCAGGTTAATTAAAGTATGTATTTTCTATGTACATATACTATGTCTAGTGGCTTTATATGAAAATGTATCTTGAATTTATTAACCTGTTCATATTATTTTGTCATATACATTTTTGCATAGGCCTCAGCATTACATGATTTTAAAATGGCTGCAGTATTTCCATTATATGATGTTCTATAATATATTTAACGCAACTGGTCATTTGGGGTTTCTAATGTTTTCATTATTACAAAAGATAACATTGTCTACCTATTAGAGTTTAGCCATACTCATTCATTTGCAAGATTGTATTTTATAAAAACTTCCTAGAAGTAGGGTTGCCTGCAAAAGATTTAAAGTAACTTTTACTGTGTTGATGATACTTACCCTTGCTCCATCTTTTTAGACATGCTTTGTTTAACTCATCACTGATCAGTTCCCTTTTCACTTTATCTTCTATAAAATTCTTACCCAGCATCTGTTTCCACCTTTAAAAAATTATTAAGTTTAGGGAAACCTAGAATTTTGCTCTTAGATGATGACCAGTTGGGAATCACCAGTTGGTCTTTTCCAGTGAGTATGAGGTGCAATTATAAGCTTTACTAGTTTTCATTATTTCTTAAAATTTAATACATGCTCCACAATGGTAGGCTTCTAATACAGTGTGAATATCTTCTTTGTATTTGGTTATATCCTTTTAAATTTTCTTTATTTTATGCCATATTTGTAAACTCCAAATAAACTAGTAGGAATATTAATGTAATTAAGCCACCTTTATATCAGTATTTTAGGTTCACTTGTTACTCATTACCATTTTGCATCTGAATTTTTCAGAACACATTCTGTATCCTACATCACTGTCTGTTCTACTGTAATTCATGTATTTAGTGCTCTTAACTCAGTTTCCTTTAATAGTCATGTTATTATTTCTAAGTTACTCAGAGGGTATTGTATATAAATTTGGCGTTGTACAAAGCATTTTTGGAAAGTTCTGAATACCCTTTACTAAATGGCATGTAATTTGGATAAACACTGGCAGGATTTAAAATCTGATTTCTTAATGGATCCTCTTTAAAGTAAGTCATGAGATAATAGAAACTTTTCATAATAGCTTAAATTCATTTGTCATAGTTTTCATTTATAGTTTCACATTCATTAACATTTATTGTTCCTTACCATTTACAGCTCAGAATTCTGCAAATGCAGATTTTGCAAACTTTGATGCATTTGGACAGTCTAGTGGCTCGAGTAATTTTGGAGGTTTCCCCACAGCAAGTCACCCTCCTTTTCAGCCCCAAACTACAGGTAGAGCTTCTCCAGCATTACACTTAAATGTTTACTTTTAATAAAACAAGATTAATTAGATGTAGTTTTGAAACATTACTTTAAACTTAAATTCTTTAATTATCTGATTTTTTAAAAGTTTATCTTACAAAGCTCTGGGGAAACCTGACATTTTTGTTTTTTTTCTTCTGTATTTGTTTGTCTGAACTCCTTGATATGTTGTCTAATTCACAACACCTACTCCTTTTCCTGCACATGAAACTTTCTTAAATTTTCTATATATAGAAGAATTAAATTACTAAATTTTATTTAGGTTCACAGAATACATTAATTTAGGTTCTGAACGAATGAAGCCATCTGATTGCTTTCATTGAACTAAAAAATATAAGTAGTTTTTAGAACAACAGGCCTAAGAAAATGTTATTAATCAAGAGTATATTATTTAGCAATTAAACTTAGAAGTAGTTTTCTGTGCAGAAATTGTTCTTCAAATATTGAATACTCCTCCCCACACACTGTTGTCTTCAGAAACTCATTGCACCTTTGTTTAGCGCTTTGTCTGATTACTTGTTTTTCAACTTTTAATTCTGTGTATTAGCTCAAAGCCTTTTCTTTCAATTTTTTTTCTTTAAATTTCATCATTTATATAATTTCTGCTGTCCAGCATTTAGAATGCTTTCATCTAGCTGCAGTTTTGGTGAACTTACTTCAGCTTTTCCTCTCCAGGCCACCAACAGTAAGTTCTATTGTCAAGTAGGCATCTTTTACTAATTTGTATGTTTTATGCTATCTTTCTTGGTATTTTCACTTAGAAAATGCTAACCATCTTTTAATAATAGCTCTTAATAAATTTTCATGTTTCCTCTCCACTATTACTAAATTCAGGCTTAGAGAACACAGTATACAATAAGTACTTGATTTAATTATTGAGGTTTTTTTTATTTGAAATAAATTCCTTCATACAAATTTTGAAAGCTTAGTATGTTCTAAGCTACTTGCTCATCAGCTACTTGTAATAGATCACAGTCCTTTAAACACAAACATATTGTGCTTAACTTTAATTGAAAAGAAAGATTTTAAATTCTTGAAAGGATTTTTATTGTATATATTTGCTTTAGAATGTCTAAACTGATGAAAGTTGTTTGTGGATTTTAGTTGGGGTGTATACAGTCTGTTCTAAAAATACTTGTGTGCAGTCTCCTTAATATGTAGACACATGTATATCCTATTTGGATTGCTGAAACTAATGTTTAGGAGTAGAGTCACTATCAAATGTAGGATCAAAAGCATAGAATGAAATACACTGGCTTTAGTCTTTTGGTAGTATTTTAGGGAAGTCTGTAGAATACAGAACAGACTATATTAGGAAGATATACACCACAGTGACCATTGGTTAAATGTATTCTATAAAGTAAAAAAAAAAAAAAAAGCTATAATATTTAAATTATATATTGTGTACTATAATTTTTATTCCTTGAACTAGTAAGTACAAAGCTCAAACACCACATTTTAAGAAATTCTGCATCAAAATAGTACGTTTTAAATTTCGATTTTAAGGTTGTGTCAACAAAGTCTCCATTGCAGCTACAAATGCTTCTGTGTAAGATATTTTGCTTCTTGCTTGCAGAGTTTGTTTAGAGAGAAATCATGAAAGGTCTTAGTATATAACTGGAATGTTCTATGAAGTAAACCGTCTCAAACCAGGTGGCATGGAGTTGTTCACCTGTGAATTGAATTTTTCACTCTTGGATAGGTAATTACCCATAGAAACTTAAAATTACCGATAGCTTTAAGCTTTAAAATTAAGCTTTATGTTGTCAGAGCCTTTGAATATCTGTTTGAGAATTATAAAAAGTCATATGTAAATAATTAAAGCTAGTGCCATATGCCAGTTGTTAATTTTAGGAGTGCAGGATTTGTTTATAGGATGCTTAATTTAGGAAGAAATTATAAAATCTATCAGTATATTGGGAAAAGTCTAGAAATTTCAGGTGTTCTATTTATTCTGTTACAGGTGGAAATGCTGGATCAGTAAATGCTAATTTTGCTCATTTTGATAACTTCCCCAAATCCTCCAGTGCTGATTTTGGAACCTTCAGTACTACCCAGAGTCATCAAACAACATCAACTGTTAGTAAAGTTGCAATGAATAAAGCTGGTCTACAGACTACAGATAAATATGCGGCACTTGCCAATTTAGACAATATCTTCAGTGCTGGGCAAGGTATCACCTTTAAACAAAACAAATGCAAATTCATTTATTAAATAGTTCTCTAAAGTTGATTGTATTCATTAAATCTGAGGATATTATGCTTAGTTGTGTGGAAAATTTGTTTGTATACTAAATATCCATGTCTAGTTGGTAGATTTTGAATCTGAAGGCATAGAAACAAACTTGTAAACTTATAGTTTAAAAAAAAATTGGCAGATTTAATTTTGTATTAGAAAGTATGCTTTACTGTCCTAAGGCCATAAAGGGCCAAGAACTCCTACTAATAGCTAGCGCTAATAGGAGGGTTATTTGGTGGTTTCTACATTATATTCATTTGGAACTATTTTCTATTAACAATTTGGGTGTTTTTTTTTTTTTATCCTTTTAAAGCCTATGACTTTTACAATATATATTTATAACTAGTTTTGATGTTAAGGCCAATATTTTGCCTCTCAGTGCATTGTGTCATTGGAATAGTAAGAGTCTGCTGTCAGACTGAATTCTGTGACTTTATCTGTGGACCTGCTTTCTTATCTCCAAAATGTGGGTGGTAATGGCATTGGAATCATGACTTTGTATTACTGTGTTACTGGATGGAAGGCATTTACAACAGTCCCTGGAACATAGTAAATACATGGTGTTTACTATGTATTTACATAGTAAATACATGGTGTTTACTACATAGTAAATACATGGTGTTACATAGTAAATACATGGTGATGTTGCCATGAAAAAAACCTGGGAAATGATATTAATAGGCTGTTCATATTAAATGCTGTTCATACTAAATCCAGCACTTTGTCAATTTATATGTTCACTGGAATGAAATCTACCTATCGTGGATATACTAATGTAGCATTTTTGAGCATTTCTTCTTTATGTAGAATATGTAGTCAGTACAGAGTCTTACTTTTTGTTATAGAAACAGTATACTGTCTTTTTAAAAAATATATTTATTTTTTATTTATACAAGAACTTGGTGAACTACAGGCCAGAGGCCTGGGGGGGTGAGAGGATTCACCAGAGACAGAGTGGGGAGCAGAACAGGCAGATGAACTGAAGACACGGAGGGTAGCAGCAGGCAAGGCAGGAGAGGTCTGCCATGCCATGTGGGTATCTTCCTGGCTGGCCAGGAATTGAACCCGTGCTGCAGAGGCTGCGGAGAGCTTCACAGTGCTGTGCTCAACCCTCTGTGCCACCGGGGGGGCCCCAGTATTCTGTCTTTGTGCCATGATATGTCTAGCTAATTTTGTCCATTATTTTTTAGATTATTTATTAGATAAGACTCTAGAATCTTGTCCATTTATTTGTTTGGCTCCAGTCAGTTTTAAGTGTATATGTATTTCATGGCAGCTGTGCTTGATAACAAATTGAAAATATAACTTGAAGTTTGATTTAATTTGTTTTTGTTTGTTCACAGGTGGTGATCAGGGGAGTGGCTTTGGGACCACAGGTAAAGCTCCTGTTGCTTCTGTGGTTTCGATTCCCAGTCAGTCAAGTGCATCTTCAGACAAGTATGCAGCCCTGGCAGAACTAGACAGCGTATTCAGCTCTGCAGCCACCTCTAGTAATGCATACACTTCTACAAGTAATGCCAGCAGGTACCTTGTCTTAGCCAGTGCTCCTGCTTTGTGTTTTAGCTGTTAAATCTTTTTTCCAACCTTGAGTAATAATTTAAATAATGAGTATTTGGGGCATAATTTTGAAATTGATAAATATTTTGGTAAATTTAAGGAAACAGTATACCTTGCTAGTTAACATAGAATATAATTATGACTATGTACATATCTCAACACGGACTGTTATATACATAGTTATACTCAGCAGAGAATCCTTTTAGCAGTCAAGCTATTAGGTACAGCTTTCAGTCACGAAGTTTTAACACTCTTTAATAATAAATATTCTCTGTGACATAATGGGAAAAATTGAATCCAAAGAATAAAATTTGGAGTGTGTATTTTTTGTTTAGTTAGTGTTACGTGCATTAGACATACCTAATAGTGGTCTGTTGTAGCCTTATTGTGTTTAGCCTTAGTTGTAAATAAAAATTTTTAGAAATGATTATGCCAGAACCTAGCAAATTCCATATCTCTTCAGTGTCATACTGGTATTTATGGATAGTCATATCTGTTGCGTACCTCTCCAGTATGTCTGGTATACAGGAATTCTTGGCAGCAGAGAGTCTTAACACATTTTAGTTGTGACCACTTCATTTTAGATTTAAGGGAACCAACCTAGAAGTACAAGATCGTCTTACCTGTATAGCGTTTTACCCATCTTTTTCATCCTGAATTTTTCCCATCTTTTGTTACTCTGGTAACCTTTTATTTCTCTCTAGCTCCTTTTCTAGAGCGAAATGTAGGATTTTAGTGCTCACTATTTGGACTCTTTAGTAATAAATATTTTCAGTGACAGATGGGAAAAATTGAATCCAAAGAATAAAATTTAGAATATGTATATATTTTTTGTTTAGTGAGTGTTACTTACATTAGACATACGTAATAGCAGTCTATAAAAAGGTTGTTGTAAAGTGTGAGAACACAGACAGGAGTTTGCTGATAGCTGCATGAGAGCACATGAGTGGTCCCCAAAATGTTTTGGTTACCTGAGACCCTTTGAGAAAAAGTTCATGAGGCTAATAAAACTTTATTCATAATCCTTCTGAGAGGTTGTGCTTGCACAAATTGAAATTTGTGTTGATTGAGCAAAAGCAGTGGCGGGTAGAACTTCTTGGCACCTTAGCACAAATCAAGGCATGGCACTGAGGTGTACAAGTGGTCATTGAATGCCCATTATTTCCCTTACTATGTGCATTTCCTTTTATTTATGAATATTCTTGATTGTTTTTCTTATAAGTGTTCTTGCTAATTCAGTAAACTTAATTTTATTAAACTTTAACCTTTAAATATGTCTCCTTAATTTTCTATGTGTTAAAAAGTAAGGTACATGTCAGATAATACTTATATTGAAATCTGATGACTATTTAGAGGAAAATCAACTTGTGTGGTTGTATGAGTTATGAAATGAATCAGCGAATTGTTTTATGGAACATTTTTCTTTGAATATATGACTAATAGAAAAATCATTGTTAATCAGATTTGGACCATTTTTCTGTCACTTTAAAGAAAATAACTTCAGCAATTAGTAAAATTTTGGAAAATTTATTGATCCAGTATGACCATATCAGCTTCCCATTACTTTTCAGATGACATATGTTTTAATGAATGTGATTTTTTCATATTGCTTAAGGAAGTCTGTCAACATTTGGAAGATTGGCATCAAATACTTTTTTAAAAAAAAAAGATTTATTTATACAAGCACTGGGGTACAGGCCAGAGGTGCAGGAGGTTGAGAGGATTCACCAGAGATAGAGCAGGGAACAGAACAGGCAGAAGGACCAAAGTACACTGCTGAGGGGAACAGTGGGCGAGATAGGAGAAGTCTGCCTCGCCATGTGGGAATCTCCGCGGCCAACCAGGAATCGAACCTGCACTACAGAGGCTGTGGGCAGCTTCACAGCGCTGCGCTCAACCCGCTGCACCACTGGGGAGGCCCGGCATCAAGTGTTTTCTAAGTGATATAAAATTCACTAAAAGATTCATTCACAATGCCTCACAGATGTTACCTTAATGGAGAATGAAAAATTCACGGATAGGGTTTCAAATTCCACATTGCAACTAACTTTTAGGAAATGCTCACTGTTTCTGTTATGCTATCAAAGAAAATATCTGCAATTATTTGATAACAGCTATTGAAATACTCCAGTTCAACTGTGTCTGTATGTGAAGCCAGTTTTTCTCCATGGACTTCAACCTGAATAACGTGCCACACCAGATTGGTCTTCTGTTAATCCAGCCACTAAAGGAATTTGCAAAAATAATCAAATAGTGTTTTAGTTTCCTCATTAAGTTTCTTTTCTTTTTGCAAAATATATTTGTCCTTAAAAATACTACTTATGTTAGCATAAAATGGCTTTTTGTTACTTTTAAATATTTTTAAGATTTTCTTTGTAATAGCATACTTAAGTCTTCCTTTGAAGTTCTCAATAATTTTTCTGCTTTGATATTTTATCATTTTATGGCCACCCTGTAGATATAGATTATACTTGTTTTTGTTTTTTATATGAACTCTTCATTTTTCAGCAATGTGTTTGGAACGGTGCCAGTGGGTGCTTCTGCACAGACACAGCCTGCTTCTTCAAGTGTGCCTGCTGCATTTGGAGGTATGTCTTTCTAAATATATACCGTATTTTTTAAAGAGCCCAAATGCATATTGTGTAGCATTTTCTTAGGGGTACTAGAGAAAGTCAAAGAGGTGATTTAGTCCCAGAAGCTCTAGTTTCTATTTCCATAACTATGAATCAAATGTTTTGAGTAATTAAATCCAAAAGTAGTGGAATTTAATAGTGTATTTTATAATTTTTTAAAGCTCCGCCTTCCACGAATCCATTTGTGGCTGCTGCTGGACCTTCTGTATCATCTACAAATCCATTTCAGACTAATGCCAGAGGCACAACAGGTAGGAAATACAGAACAGTAAATTTTGGCAAAAGTATTTATTACAAAAACACCATGTGAAAGAACATCAGAAAATGAGGCTGCTTTCTTACTGAAGTGAATGGAAATGTATGGAAGAATTTGTCTGCAATGAAAAAACTACCTAGAAATTTTCTGCAAAACAAAAACTAGACAAAATTTGTAATTCTGGAATTGAATGTTGAGAAAGAGCTTGGCATTGTCTAGGGTCCCCCAACCCCAGCCAGACTTTCATTTTCCAGGTGCAGGAACTCAGGCCTGGCGACAAGACTCCCGTAGGGTCACACAGGGCATTTAGGACGGAGCTGCGGCTTGGGCATAGGGATTCTACCTTACGTCGTTGTCTGTGTTAAAATTACTGCTTGTAAATCATTCACTCTTAATAGAAAAAATTACGAGAAGATCTTTATCTTTGTTTCTTTTGTTCCTCTTCATGGAATTACAAAAGGTCACAAGAGGTCTTGATTATTAGACCTTCCAGAACATGTCTTTTAAAGTGTTGCAGATTTAAATTGTGGGAATCAGTCGTCATTTTGGGTATAATACTTGAATGTGTTTTCTTTGGGTTTTGTTTTTTTTTTTTTTTTTTTTTTTCCTTTTTCTTAATCTACTGTAATCCTGTCTCTTCTTTTCTTTTTGGGTCATACTGTAAGACAGCTAATTTTCTGGTATTGAACTTTTTTGACTTTTCACCTTGCTACCTAAAACACCAGCCCTGTTTGCCAGTGCCTTTGAGTGTCAGCAAGTCAATGTGCTGTGACTCAGTGCCTGTTGATCTAGAGTTTGTTAGCTTTGTTTTGTTGTAAGTGTCCCAGTAATTTTAGAGCTAAAATCTAAACTCATTTATAGCATATATTGATGAGAAGTCTTGAAAGAAGCTACTTGTAACTTCACAATTAAACCTGCACCATTAAGAATTAGTAATCATTAACAAATCTCTTTGTCATTGGTAAGATTAACAATTATGATACTAGGAGTATCTTGCCAACTCATTAAGTATTTAAATTTTAACACATAATTTGATTTTTAAAAGTTTTTTTTTAATTCAAGTATACCTAATTAGTGATTATTTTTAATTTTGATGGTGTTTTGGACAAAAGCATTTGTACTATGCAGTTGTGATATATGTAAAATTTCTGTTACTTAGCATATTATTTTGATGTGGTAAAATGAATTTGTAAAATGTCTCTTAGCACATGGGTCTTTACATATTTTTCAAACCTAATCCTTTAACACTCATCACATAAATATTTAATAACTCTGACAGCTGAGAAAACAGGCTTAGAAAAGTTGTGTGTTTTGAGTTTAAACATATTTGTGTTCAAATCCTGATTTAGTATTTGTTACTTGAATCCTAAGAAAGCTATTTGCATATTATTTATTAATGAATGGAGTAAAGGTAATAGGGAGGTATATTCACATTTATTGAGAGAAATGTTTAAAGTTATTTGCAAAGTAATGTTGAGATGTTATAGTTATCATAACCCCATTTAACACCTGTAGAGTGGAAACTCAAATTATGCCTTGATTAAGATAGTGATTTACCTTTTCTGAGCCTTATTGCCCTTTTTACAAGGTTATGTGAAAATTAGAGGTTGCCAAACACTTTGCATGTCCTTTGTGTGGTCATATTATAGTTGGTAAATCTTTTCTGTTCTTTTCATGACTGCACCTCTGAGATGGTTCTATCATTAGTGTTAAGGACTTTTTTCTGTTTATTTAGAGTATGTAGGTCCTTTAAAATTGAAGTTCTTCATAGGGTGTAAAATAACAAAATGTATTGTATGCTCAGATGATAAAAAATAATTTTAATAATAGCCTAGGCCTCCATGCAGTTTTTATTTCAAGGTAAAATATTTTTTGTATTAGAAACTATTTTAAATTCATCACCTTTATCACCTTTATTAGATTATTACTGAGTTAACTAAATCAAAATAAGTGTTCACTACATATGTTTGTTAAATCTAAATACAAGCAATACTTAAATACATTATGCCTAGGACTTTCTAATGTTTTATATCATCAAAATTAATATTAATTCTTTAGGAAATACTTTTTGTTTCTTAAAGTTTTATTGATAATTTCATTTTTAAAAATATACATTTTAGGGGCCTCCCCAGTGGCGCAGCAGGTTGAGCACAGTCCTGTGGAGCTGTCCGCAGCCTCTGCAGCACAGGTTCGATTCCCAGCCAGCCAGGGAGATGCTCACATGGTGCGGCAGACCTCTCTTGTCACGCCTGCTGCTCCCCTCAGCAGTGCTTTCGGTCCCTCTGCCTGTACTGTAACCTACTCTGTCTCTGGTGAATCCTCTTCACCCCCCCACACCCCTGGCCTGTACCACAGCTATTGTATAAATAAAATATAAATCTTTAAAAATATGTATATATATATTTTTTAATCCCCCCTCCCCCCCTCCATTTACAAAGTTTTGATACGTTATCTTCCTTTTACCATGTTAAAAATCTTTTTTTTTTTTTTTTCAAAGATTTATTTGTTTATGCACACAAGAACTGGGGTACAGGACAAAGGTACGGGGATTGAGAGGATTCACCAGAGACAGAGAGTGGAACAGAACAGGCAGACTGGCTGAAATACACTCTTAGGGGAGCGGCGCAAGCTAGGAGAGGTCTGCTGCGCCATGTGGGTAGCTCCCTCGGCAGCCAGTGATCGAAATTGTGCTGTGCTGCAGAGGCTGTGGATAGCTTCATAATGCTGTGCTTAACCCCTTGCACCACCAGGGAGACCCAGCCATGTTAAAAATCTTTGTTAGGAGATTAATCAATATGATCTAAGACCATGATATAATGTTGAGAGTCTATAATTCTTTATCTCAGAGCTCTTGAGCCCTCAAATGTAATTAGTAGAGTTAATGTAGTTTTCTATTAAGAAATTCTCTCGTAACTTTTACATCTCTCCAGGTGCTTTATTTCCTAGCATTCATTTGAATGAACGAATGATGAATGAATAGAAATATAGAACTGAGGGCCTCTCCTGGTGGCGCAGGTGGTTGAGCGCCACGCTGTAATGCTGTCTGCAGCCTCTGCAACGCCGGTTCGATCCCTGGCCGGCTGGCAAGGGTCCTTCATGGCGCAGCAGACCTCTCCTGTCTCACCTGCTGCTAGTGAATCCTCTCACCCTCCCGCACATCTGGTTTGTACCCCAGTTCTTGTATGTATAAATCAATCATTTTTTAAAAAAAGGAAATATAGAACTGAGAAATTTATAGATAGCATCTAGCCCAGCATTTTGTTTTATTATGTAGGTGGAACCTTACTTGTGAAGATGTTAAGGAATTTGCCTTAAGCATTCAGATTTACTTAATGACTGATCTAGATCAGCACTGTTTCAATTCCAGTACGGTATATAATCTCCATTTTTTTTTTAAGATTTATTTTATTTATGCATACAAGAGCTGGAGTGAAGGCCAGAGCTGCAGGGGGGCGGGGAGAGCGGTGAGAGGATTCACCAGAGAGACTGAGGAGCAGAACAGGCAAATTGACTGAAATACACTGCTGAGGGGAGCAGCAGGCAAGATAGGAGAGATCTGCCATGCCATGTGGGTCAGCTCGCTGGTGGAGATTGAACTCATGCTGCATTGGCTACTGATAGCTTCATAGTGCTGAGACTTAACCCCTTGTGCCACCAGGGAAGCCCTAGCCTCCATATTTTTAATTTAGTTTTACATTGTTTGAAATATTATGAGTGAGCACATGTGCTATATTCTTGCTTATATCTAAGTACTCAGTATCATGTTACCTGTTTAACATTCTGAAAATGAGTGTTGATAGGATAAGTGGGATGAGTGTAGATGAGGAAAAGCAAAGATAGAATCCTAAATAGAAAGTTACATGAGCTATTTAGGACATTTTGTTTCTAGATTCTGAACTGATTTACATTCTCACCCAGTATATGCTTAGTGCTTGGATCTTTGAATATCTCTATCATTTGAACCTGCAGTGGGTGCTTGTAGCAGCCAATAGAGACAGTAAAATTTTTAAAATTCATACACAAAAAAAGAAACTTTAGGACAGTCTGGAGAAAAAATTAGAAATCATGTATCTATTAAGGGACTTGTATCCAGAATATAAAAAGAACACTCACAACTTAATAAAACGACAACTCAAATAAAAAAAAAAATGGACAAAAGATTTGAATAGACATTACACCAAAGAAGCTATACAGCACATGAAAAAATGTTGACCATCATTGGCCAATAGGGAAGGTAAATCAGAACTACAGTGAGATATTTCATGGCTACTAGGATGTCTGTAAATCAAAAAGAGACAATAATAAAGGTTGAGGAATTAGATACTAGATAATGTTGCTCTTGGAAATGCTAAATGATGTGATTTCTTTGGAAAACAATTGAGTAGCTCCTAAAAAAGTTAAACAGATTTATCATAGGACCCAGCAGTTCAACTCAGGAATATACCCAAGGAAATGAGAATATATATCCATACAAAAACTTATACAGAAATATTAATAGCAATATTATTCACAATATCCCCCAAATGGAAACACCCCAAATGTCTGTCAACTGATGAATGGATAAAACCAGGAATAGTATAACCATATAGCGGAATTTATTTGATGATAAAAAATAACAAAGTACTTGGGTATTCTTACACACATTAGGCTAAGTAAAGGAAGCTAGTCACAAAGAGCCAAATGACATAATTTCATTTATATGATATGCCAGATGGGCAAATCTATAGAGACGGGGAATAGAAGGGATGAAATGGAAGTGACAGTTAATAGGTGTGGAATTTCTTTTAGGGGGAATGAAAATATTCTAAAATTAGATTCTGATGATGATTTTACAAACATGAATATATTAAGTAACATTGATTCTATACTTTTAAGTGGATGAGTTCTTTGATATGTAATTATATCTCAAAAAGCCTTTACATTGAATATTTTGCTAAGTGGATAAATTATGTGATGTGTGAATTACATATTGCAAAACTGTTAAAAATAGTACACAAACTTCTTATAGCAGCCTGGGAGTGAGTGTAAGAGGGCATCGTTTTTGCAAACTGTCTTACGGTGGTTAATAGTGGGCAGCAGTCACTGTTAACTAAATGTCAATTTTTGCCGAACATTTCTCCTGAAGTGTCGTTATCAGTACTCCATGGAAAAGGGTGCTTTGCCCAGATACATGTGGGAAATTCTGAGATAAATAAAATATAACTAGTATTAATAATGTAGGACCTCTCAGAGCCTTCGGTGTGCTCTTAAGAACGGAGGCGAATGTGAAGTGTTCAGACTTTTAAGTTACCAAGAAAATACTTATTCATTGAGTATTTGGTATATATCACTTTTAAAATTAATTGCTTAATTTTTAATCTTCATGGCAGTTTTGCAAAGTAACCACTACATTCCCTGTCTATCTCTGCCCCATTTGCAGATAAGGAAACTGAGGCTTATAGAAACTAAGTAACTTCCTATAGTTAGAAAAATGATAGAACTGAAACCCGGAACCACACTGATCTCTCTCTCTTTCCCTCCAAATTTAGTTGCTTAAGTATGCCATTTAAAAATGCAAGGGCACATATTTTAAAAATAATCCCACTCTGGGGCCTCGCCTGATGGAACAGCAGTTGAGCGCTGGGCTACAAGGCTGCCCGCAGCCTCTGCAGTGCCGGTTCATTCCCCAGCCACCAGCAAGGGTCTCCCCCCACCCCCCAAAAAAATAAATAAATAAAAATAAATAATCCCACTCTGGTTGGTTAAAACAATTAAAATAGAACGGTTCTAGAACTAACAGTCTAAATTTGTTTTCTATTAAACTTATTTATATATAACTTTGACCTCATCTAATGCCAGGTAAGATCTATGCAAAGATGCAGTTTTCTTCTCTTCGCAAGCACATTTAAACTGAGCACATTGCATGACTTTCTAATGAACTACATTGACTAATTTTACCCTAAATCCTGAGTTCACTGGAGTTGTTATAAATTTCTAGTTAATGTTTGAAGAACAATCAGATGCTCTTTCCAAGGTTTGACTTTAGATGCTGAAGTGGATGCCAGGTAATTTTAGATGGCCCTGTGAATAGCATTTTAGGATGTGAATGGTGAGACCTACAAAGTTTTTTTGTTACAGTTCTATCTATACATGAAAAGAAATGTTGCTGTTTATTTTTAAAATGAATTTTATAAATATTTCTTCATTATTTGTTATTCTTATCTCCCCTTTATATATATTTCAGTGTTCTTATTATGTATTCTTATGCTATCCACCATGTAACAGTACATTTTCATTTTAGAACTTTATAATGAAACAAATTTGACAATAGTTACCCATAAGTTAATTGACATTGGTCTTTTTATGGCTTTCCTTTCTGGAGCAATGCATTCTCAAGTGTTTCCTCACGCTCATTTTGGTAGGTGGCCACAACTAATACTTAGATTTGTGTGGCAATTTGTCTACTTGCTTGTGGAAGCTTCTGCTAGTGTTCTCGATCCCTGCATGTGGAATTAAGTTTTTTCCATGTTTTCAAATGGAGTGGGCATGGATGTGTGGCATTGGGATTACGTTGTATTTAAAGTTAAATGAAAAAATTTTGTGGGGATTCATGTTTTAATGCCGAAAAGCATTATTGCTTACCTCCATGGTCACATTAGAATGTTAATAGCTTTTTCGATTATTTTTCCTGAGTTTGAAAATTCATAATATGTTGAGTGACACCTTTTTGATGTACCAAGCCATTTTACCATATTATTTCATGGAGTTTGGTTTTGCTTAACTGTATTCAAGTTTTGCTTCTCAGTGCTTTCTTAAAAAAGTGATTTGTCTAAGTTATGTCAGTGCTTTGTTGTCTGTTATGAAACCCTCCTGTTTCCCTTGCAGTGTGCTTATCCTTTAATTCTCTTGCTATCCAGTGACTTGTTTTCCCTTCTTTGTCATCATTAATAAAAAAGCAATTTTAAAAATGTTGTTATTCTAGAGCCTCCCCTGGTGGCGCAGTGGTTGAGCGCTGGGTTGCAAGGCTGCCCGCAGCCTCTGCAGCGCTGGTTCGTTCCCCGGCCACTGGCAAGGGTCCCACAAAAAAAAAAAAAAAAAGTTGTTATTCTAATTAGGTTCATTTTGGAAAATTGCATTGTTACATACATTAGCAATGTAGAAATTTGGGCAACATCCGTAACACGTTTTTTTCCTTAAAGTATTTCTAAGCAATATCTTCAGTATTAATTTCTGTGCCTTTAGTATGCAATCAAGTTGGTAGTTTTTTTTAAAGCAAGAGATTGCTTTTTGATATATCCTGCTAAATGTATTTTACTAATTGCTAATATTTTATATTAAAAGGACACTTATTTCACTGAGGCCTTCCTAAAACATACAGTTGGAATGTTGTTTTTAATGTTCACTTGCAATAAGTAATATAATGTAATGCCACTACATGTGTTTCGCTAATGCATTTTAGTATATAAGTAGTCATACCAGGGGGGAACCATAGCTGCATACTGTATGAGTAGCTATAGTTCACACCCAGATTTCCCAAGTATGGGAAAACTGGTCCACTGAGGAATAGTGGCTAGACATGCCACTTATGGAGGAGTACAGTAGTAAACACAGTTCTCATTTTCTTTCTCTATTTTAGGAATGTTTATTTAGTTTCCTTTTCAATCTGTGCATTTTGCCTTCATTTCTGTAATTTAGCAGTCCTGATATTCCTTCTATCCCTCATCCAAAGCAGTTTTCATTTACCTTCCCTAAAAGGAGTGGGAGTCCATATATTTATTTTGGAGTTGATTTACTAGGAATTTAACATGTCATTTTAATTTTGTTAGTGTTTTTGTATTAGAACTATCCCCCATTTTCTTGACTTTTAGGTAGGAAGCTGTATAGATTTTGAGTGACCTGCCTCTAACCCTATTTCTCTTATAAGCCTTGTTATTTTTAATGAACTCTTTTGCAGAGGCTTGAAATTTTTATTTTCAGGAATGCACATATTAACATTGTGGCAAAAAAATTAGTAGGTGAAATTAAATTTTGACTATTTTACTATATATAGCAAATCAAAGCTAAAAGCAAAAATGTATACTAGTATACATGTGAATTGCATGACGATGGGCTATGTAGATTGCTCTTTAGACTTGAACTTTATATTACTTGAGAAATTTTCTTATGATTTCCATGAATAGCTTTGTTGTTTCATTGCAATTATTTGCTTTCAGAAGAATGAGATTTTTAGGCTGTGTTAAGCTGCATAGCATAATGTAATAATGTACATGTTAATATTCTTCAGGGTAAATGATGTCTTTTGTATAATACTATGAGAAACAAAACCACTATCTACCTTTTCTCCTGGCAGCGGCGACCTTTGGCACTGCGTCCATGAGCATGCCTGCGGGGTTCGGTACTCCTGCACCCTATAGTCTTCCCACCAGTTTTAGTGGCAGCTTCCAGCAGCCTGCCTTCCCAGCCCAAGCAGCTTTCCCTCAACAGACAGCTTTTTCTCAACAGCCTAATGGTAAGATGTAGGCTAAGTGTAAGTATGCTGATGGGGTCCTTTACATATCCTGTGTTTGGATAAAAGGACTTCTCTAAAGATGCTGTATTGTTGTCTACTGAATGTTTACTGGCCTCAGATAATTGAGTGACTTAGTTTTTGTGGCCAGATTAGATTTAAGACTGCTACTTCTATCTCAGAATCTCTTCTGTCTGTCTTGTCTGTCTTACTTTCTATATTCTAATATGCTTCTTGACTTTTGAAGAAAACTTTAATAGATCTAGTATGTTTTTTGTTTTATATCAGCAAACTATTGCTTGTGTGCCAGGAGTTTTCTTTTTTAGTGAGATAGATTAATTTTCTAAATAAGCAATTATATTATGGTTAGAATGTATTACTTGTTTTCAGGAAGATTCACTGGGACCAGTTTGGTTTTTTTAAAAACCCATTTTGTTCATTTGCTAAGTCTGAATTCCATACATTTGAAGATAATTCTTGATTTACAGTTATATATTTTCTTTCTAAAAGTCAGGGATTAAGTAAAATTTGGAAATAGGGTTCCTCACAAAGCCGTAACAATAAATTTTTTCCTGATGTTCACACAGAAACACACTGTGTTGTTCTCACGGCCTCGTTGAAATAGTCACAAGCTCATCTGGTAAATCCTTTGAATGTCAGCAGTTCACAGCTGAGACCAATTGGAATTAAACATTTCTGGAAAACTGAATGAAAGCTCTTTTAAAACATGCTGCAGAGAAATTTGTTTCTGGCATTTGAAAAAGCATGAGGCCCACCAATTTAACACTGATATTTTTTTTATTGTTTTTCTGGTCAGATTCCTTCAAAACTCATTATGAAACTTTGTGTCTGGTGTCTTTCAAAGGTTTGAGTTATAATTGATGGTTTTGTTCATACAAGGTGCAGGTTTTGCAGCATTTGGACAAACAAAGCCAGTGGTGACCCCTTTTGGTCAAGTTGCAGCTGCTGGAGTATCTAGTAACCCATTTATGGTAAGAGAGATACTATTTTAAATAACTTACAAGTTGTTGCATGTCATTTTAAAATTAGGAAAAGCAGGATGTAGCTCCTAGATGCTGTTTGGTATTCTTAGAGCTATGGCGTAGTTAGATCACACATCATAGCAGCCACATCCTTGTTGTGACTTAAACAAAATTAATCAGTTGCAAATCAAAGCATTGATAGTAAATAAACTATTTCATAACATGAAACTTAACCTGTTTTCCTAACAAAATAATGCATTTACGAGAACCTATACAGCAGTGAACAATGTGGAAAAGGGGTCTTGGAGTCAGATTTGGTTTGAATCATAAATTTAATTTGTTTTAGGGCCAAGTCCCTTCTCGTGGATAAGAATTATATGAAATAATAAGTATAAAAGAGACAACACAGAACCTGACACCTAATAATTTTATTATAGTATGTTTCTAGTAGTCATAATGAGTCAGAATTACTGCCAATATTTATAATGTAATACTTACAAAACAATACCTAACCTAAATACTATTTAAAGCAAGATTTAATTAAATGAATTTTATTATTTTCATTTTTTTCCACACACACCACTTTTACTTGTCTTTTCTGTTGTTTTGTCTTATGTTTTCTTTTAGACCGGTGCACCAACGGGACAATTTCCAACAGGAAGCTCATCAACCAATCCTTTCTTATAGCCTTATATAGACACTTTACTGGAACGAACTTTTATGTGGTCACAGTACATCTCTCCGCCTCTTGCACTGTTGTCTTGTTTCACTGATCTTAGCTTTAAACACAAGAGAAGTCTTTAAAAAGCCTGCATTGTGTATTAAACACCAGGTAATATGTGCAAAACAGAGGGCTCCAGTAACACCTTTTAACCTGTGAATTGGCAGAAAAAAGGTAGCGGTATCATGTATATTAAAAATTGGCTAATATTAAGTTATTGCAGATACCACATTCATTATGCTGCAGTACTGTACATATTTTTCTTAGAAATTAGCTATTTGTGCATATCAGTATTTGTAACTTTAACACATTGTTATGTGAGAAATGTTACTGGGGAAATAGATCAGCCACTTTTAAGGTGCTGTCATATATCTTGGAATGAATGACCTAAAATCATTTTAACCATTGCTACTAGAAAGTTACAAAGTCAAAATTGGAAGGTTTTATTCATTCTTGAATTTTTCCTTTCTAAAGAGCTCTTCTATTTATACATGCCTAAATTCTTTAAAAATGTAGAGGGATACCTGTCTGCGTAATAAAGTTGATCATGTTTTGCTACAGTTTGCGGGTGAAAAAAATAAATATTAGAAAATATGCTATTGTTTTTGTGTTCTTGCTGCAATGCCTTTACCAAAGTGGCCTTAAATATGAGTAGTGAATTGAGAACATCTTGAATTCTTAAATTAGAATTTCAAAAGACTTCTAGTGACTAACTTTTATGTCTAAAAGAGAAAATTTTATAAAAGGCCATGTAGAAAAGTTATTGAAACTATGACTGCTATCTATATTCAGGAATATGTCAGTGGTAAAGCATTTAAATGTAGCTTATCAGATTTACCATAATCCTCCTAATTTCTTTGCAACTTAATTTTGTGAACATTTGTATATATAAATTTGCATGCATGTGTATTTACAAATTTTTAAAGTATCTTGAATTCTCCGACTGCAAAAGACCTATTTTAACTTGATTTAAAAAAAATATTGTCTTTGAATGTATTGGAAGCATACATGCATTAACTGTGATACCATTGCACCTCAGTTTCTTTGGTTTTTTTTGTTTCTTTTGGACAAACCGATATTATTAATAGGACATTTGTTCATGTTCATTTCTGGGGTGAAAGGAACTGGAAACCCAGTCAAAGTTATAGAGTACTTGGATTAAGATGACAAAGATACTAATCTTTTAGTTGTATTTTTTGTTAATATTCAGATAAATTTGTTTAAATATTTATGTTAAGTAATGCCTCACTCACCCAGAGATAACCTGGCAGTCTCCTCAAAATGGAACACAACTGAGAAACTTGGAATCGGTTTTTTTAAAAAATGGCTTAGAGCAACTCACCTAAGTCACAAAGGCTGTATGTTCAGGACTCATACATTTGTTTTATGTGAAATTTTGATTATTTTATTTTCTAGCCCATAGCATATTAGCAGGTCAGATGTAATGGCTTAAAAGGAAGGAGATAGAAGATACTATGATCCAGAGACAGACAGCCCAGCCAAGAGGACTTCACTAAATTATCTTCTGATATTTGTCTACTGTTGTAACTCTGTGTCATCAAGAAAGGTGACATTACATTTACAAATATAGAATACATTTTTGAAGGTTTTGTAATGATCAAAATAATTTTAAAGCTTTGATGTTGAAATAGGTGAACATCAGTTTCCTCAAACATTGCATTCATGTTGAATACCTTTTTCAGTGGTGACTGCATGAATTCCTAGAAGAATATATTAAAATCTATGTAGTATTTCAGGCTTGTTAAAACATTGCTCTCTGTATCTAAGTGAATGTGGTTTATCTGAACCCTTCTGATTAAGTAAAATGACTGGGAGGTCTCTGCCCCTTTTCTGAACAGTGTGCCTCTTCTCTGAGAATTAAATGGATCCTGCAAAGGTCTAGGTGTGTGTTGGTGTATACTTGAAATGACTTTGTTTTTGGGCTCTCCTCCCTCTAGTACTTTTTCATGGAGGTAAAATTTCTGTGTTTTAGATTGTATTGGATCTCAGTCAATTCATATGTACAAAGCTACATAATTTTAGGTCATTTCCCAAATAACCTACCAGAACTCTCCATCTATGAAATAAATAAATTAAACAATTTTTATTAAAATAATTTTAAAGACATCTCCTGGGTAAATTTTGAAGCTTGTGATTAATTGGGACCTCTTACTGACTTCAAGTGAGTGCTTATAAAATCCAAATGCTTAGTTTAAGAAAGAGGCCAGATTGATGTGGCTTTAAATCAACTTTTGTTAGACTTTTCATATTCATATTTGCTTCTAATTTTTTATATATTGTTTTGAGTGCTCAAAAAGAGAAAGTTTTCAATTTTTCCGACTTACTGGTTGAATCAAATCTCTCCTGTCTTTGCTCAGACAAATTTTCCTTTTAGGGTAGCAAACTTTCTTGATCTAGTTTAAAGACCTAATCTTCTCTTTGTGAAAATAGAGATCAGGAAATCACTTTCTTCCTTAAAATATTTCCTTCTGTAAATGTGAAGGAGTATATAGTTTCTCTATCCGTGAGTTACCCAGGTGCATCCTTTTTGGTGCAGTTGCTCTAAATTGGTAAAATGGTGAGTAACTGACCGCTTTTGTACCTTAACACTAACAGTTCTGAAATATTTGGTCTCAGGACAATAACTTAAATTTTTTTCAAGATCCCCAGAGAGCTTTTGTTTATGTAGCTTGTATCTGTCAGCATTTACTGTAATACTGAGACTTTTAAAAAACCTGTTTATTCATTTAAATATTATAACAGTAATAATAATAATATTCAACCCATTACATGTTAACATGAATGCCATGTTGATGACAATGACTTTCCAAAAAGTTTAATTAGAGGACATTATTTTACATTTTCATATCTCTAATATCTATTAGTAGAAGTAGTGGGATTCTCATCCCCTTATGCCTCGTGGTTCTTTGTGTATCACATGGCATGTGGGTACTGGAAAAGTCCTCTGTGTTCTTGTGAAATCCTGTGTGAAGCAGGCATTAATATCTGAGTATTATGAAGTTAGTGTCTACTTTGAGTTTGGGGGGACTCCTCCCCCCTTCTCCCGGGTCCTCAGGCCATACCTTGAGAACTATGCACTACACTTTAAATTTGCTTGTTCCTGGAACAACAGTGTTTAGTAGGAGGGTAAGCTTACTGTTCTCTGAACTTTTAAGGTTTTTTTGTTTGGGGGACAAATTGAAATTACAGTTGAAATTGCAAACATTTTAATGTTTTTCTAATTCTATTTGAAACTATTTCAATGATGATGATATTGGTGGATATTTCCTTTTTGAAAGGATATTGCAAGTTCTGATTCTTAGGTATTGGCGTTTATTTTGGGAACATTTACTATTCTGACCACTTTGAGATTGTATAATTGGGGGATTATCAAATAGCTATTTAAAATTTTTGATTTTCTTCACCTTACTGAAGAAAACTTCAAAATGAAGAATAGTTTCTTAATCTCATATTTAATAAAGAATTTCAGCTGCACGCGTGCGCGCATACACACACAAATAGATTCCTCAAACAAAAGTAACTCTTCTAGGAAGTCAGCTAGTACAATGAAGGGAATGTGTCTACTTAAGAAAAAGATTTCCTCTGAATTTTCTCAGAATCTCCCAACGAGATTTTACAGTTTATTTTTAAAGAGAACCCTTGCTGTTACTTTTTTCATTTAAACAAAATATTTTGAAATTCTTTTGAAGTCACAGTGACATTTTAAAAGGTGGCTTAGGATAAGTAGTCACCACAAAGTCTTGCTTCATTGCTGTTGGTGGTGGTGTAGTGTAAACGTGCTTTCTTGAGATAATTTTCCGCTTTCATCGTGGGTGACCCTGGGCCCTGCCTCTTGGGCCTCTTGGGCCATGTTTTCTGCTCCCGCACTGCATGGCTTACTCCATCTTTGGCCTCCTCTTACAATCCCAGACTTAAATTGGGGAATTAACCTAGGGGACCATTATGAATATATTTATTTTTTAAAATAATGACTTCAAAATAATAATAGTGATGGTATTATGGGGCAGGGTGTTTTAAGCCCTTTCAGTATATCAGAAGCTTGCTAAATGCTTTTCATTATATAATCCTTAAAGTGGACTCAGATAACACATTGAGAGATTAAACTCATGACAAGGCTTTTGCTCTGAGGAAGCAAATACAGTCTCTCATTGGAATAAAATGCAGCCACATTTATGAGTCAGATTAAAAAAAGAAAAAACCTTGAAATTTCAAGAGAGTTACTTTCTCTGTATTATGTACCTTATAAAATTAGTCATTTCATTTGGGTTCCATTCATAATTTGATGAAATCAGTACAGCTTATTCTCTAGGGTTTTAAAGTATAAAAAGTAAATGAGTGGGTCATTAGTGGGGCATCTTTTAAACTAGAGACCTTAAGCATCGCAATGACTCTGTTTTGTGAGACATTCCAATTTGACAATAGCTTGTGCCCTAGATAATTTTAAAGTTTACTTTGTAAAGGATGCTGTTATTAAAGTTTGTATTAAATTAGCCAATTGTATGAATTCATCCTCATTTGTTAATTTTTCTTTGTATACTTTAAAACGTTGTAATACCACTAATTAGACATTTGGTTCAGTGTATTTCAGCAAATGAGATTACATGTCCAGCATGCAATCCAGTGTTAGTAACTGTTTAGCAACTTATTCTAATGAAAAGTGACCTGTTGGGTACTATTTCCTTGATGTTTGTGGTATAAAATGCTCTCACCACAGCTGACTGCAGCTACCCATCTGATGCCATGAAGCTTGGAGCGGGAGATAGATGGAGCCAGCAATTCCCTCCAAGCCTTCGTGAACGAGCTCCATCCAGCACAGCACCGACATGGTTCTATGCCTTCAAAAGTAGATTGGTTATTTGGCGATTGTATCCAGTATTTAAAGAGGCTGTTGTTTTATATTGTTAAATCAGCAAGCATTTGTACCTGGTTCATTTCTAGAATTGTACTGGACATTGAGGTAATTAATCTGGAAACATCCAAGTGTGAACTCCGGTTTTTGAAGTTCATTTATTGTGCTGGAAGAGGGGTTGCACATTCATGGCACATACTCTGAATTCTCCCCAGAGTTGTGTTTTGTTTGACCAGCACAGTATTTTAAAAATTGGAGGGTCTGTACTCTCAAGGTGGCCTTAACAACCCATTTTCTTACTTCCACACCTAACTCTGTGTTAAGGCCTTGGATTGGCAGGTCCTGAGTAGACATTAAGGGCTCTTACGCCATCACTTACAGTTTTGATTTGGAATCAAGTCATATAGGATTTGAATTTAATATCTTAATTACTAGTGAAAACTTGTCAAAAAATGTGTTTCCTTTCAGAGCTGATAACCTCCATATTCTGCTTACTTTATGCCGAAGGATAAGATTTCAACATATATTTAAATACTCTTGAAATCTGTGCTTATCTAACTCACAGGACTGAAGTTTAATGAAAACAGAATGTTGTGATTCAGGCTTTTGTTAAAAGGAAAATTGATACTGGATAACATTTTTGTTGGTGATTAAAATGTTCATAGATTAATGTTTTTTTAAATTGGTTCTCTGGAATCTTGAGTAAATGTTATCCAAGGTATAGTTTAAGATACAAACTTAAATTTTCAACATCTTCCTTCAATCTTGGGTGGAAGGGCAGAGAAAGCAAAACACCAATGAGCCTTCTAATTTTGACTAAATTATATTCACTAAAAGACAGCAAGGGTTTGCAAGCTGATGCTATATAGTCAGTGTTGCATAGAATGCTTTGGGTACAATCAGGTTTTTTAAAGACTTTAAGGTTATTTTATGTTACAAAATACATGTTTATGAGTTTTAAAAATATGCAGTATACCAAGTTATGTATAAAATGAAGAACTGTTTGCTTCCTGTGATTTCATTTCTGTACCCAGAGGATAGTTTCTTGTATTCTTCTGTAATTGCTTATTTTGTATGTCTCTCATGTCCTCTATTATCTTAAATGTACAATTTTGTAACTTGTTAATTTTGGTTGCCTTTCCACATTGCCTACCTGGCTCATTACTTTAATGGCTCCAAGGTATCATTATCTGGACATCCCTTTTCAACATTTGTAGATTTTTTTCTACTAAAAGCATTGTTGCATTGAGAATATCCTTATGCATATATGAAGATGACTCGATTCTGCCTGACTGGAAACTCAATATAGAGAGACATTTTGTTTAGAGGCACACCAGCTGTGTAATGATCTTGTGCTTCCATTTAGGACATTCTTCCATTTGAGGAAGGAAAAGTCTCTCAACTTGATTATCTTAAAATAAGATTTGGGGGGAAAAACATGTTTTGTGATTGAAGTATGAAGGCATTCAGTCAATATGTTGAAAGATGGTGCAAATTCACTTCGATTTTGCACCTTAATTTTTCTATTGTCCCTATGAATGATTCTTGAAGTTCCTTAATTTGAAGTTTGAGGCTATTTTCTATTGATCCTAGATGGTATTGTACCTTCCTTACATTAGCTTAGAATAGACCTGATTTTTAAGCAAAGAAAGTTCAGATTTGCTATAGCAAAATCTATTTTGGCATGACCACCTATTTTAGTCTTTTTTTTTTTTTTTTTTTTCCAAAATTAGCCTCTCTGCCTTAGAAACGACTGGAATAGTAACGGAGTTCTGATTTCATTCCTCACAAGACCTAAGTCCAGTGAATGTATTTACCATTGTTAAGGGCAGCATCTGCCCCCTGGAATAGTGTGTTTATGAGGAATGACATTCCTAGTAGCTGAGAGAAAAAGTACCTTCCCACCGGAAAGCTAGGAGCAGGGAGCAAGAATCCCCTGAGAAGGCTGAAAGGAAGCAGCTCAGCCTGCTGAGAGGTAGGAAGGCGGACCAGACTGCAGGAGGTGGTTTTAGGTATTGTATGAAAATTTACAGGCTGCTTCCGATACTCACTTCTAAAGCCCTTTTTTGTATTGTAAATTGGTTAATACGTTTTTGTTCATTGTGAAATACTGTTGAATTTTTTTAAAATAAAGACTTGAATTTGTGTACCATTTGAGATAGCCTCTTTGTCACATTATATAATGAGA